TTCTCTCTCTCTCTCTCTCTCTCTCTCTCTCTCTCTCCCCAACCCATCCTCACTCACTGTATCAAAACTTATCAGTTTATCTATATTCTTGCATTTATGTTTTCATCCATCCATCAACATATATAATGGTTTATATGACTACCCACCCATTTGCCTCCCTAAATATACTTCCTACATACCTTCCTGCTTTCTAGGCCCACAGAGCATCCGCCCCACCACTATTCCACAAACAAACCCACATTCCATTGCAGTCCACTCCCCCCCCCCTACCCATTCTTCTCCACTCTTTCAATAACAGCCACAAACAGAAATACAAAAACAAAAACAAAACAAACCAACAGGTCAACAACAAAATAAAACTTCGGCAGGCCAGGAGTTAGATATTACGCTAATAAAATATGTATGCCTAGACAAAGGCAAGGACTGATATGCTTCACAAAAGAGCGGCTCACACCGATGCAAAATGTTGTGACCTCGGCAGATGTTAATTTTGTTTCTGTTACAAGTGTTACAACAGTTCAGCATAGGACAATTCTACCCAATTCCAGAGTGTCAAGAGTCACATTCGACTCCGATTCACGGGGAAATAAATAATAATATTGAGACATTGAAATTTCAATAGAAATATTTGGGACGTTATCCTTAGCCTTCAATTATAATAGAGTTATATTTGAACATTTCAAGTGATTGGCTGGCCGTTCATTCATCCCAACAAAGGAGAGTTAAATTTGACAGAACAATTCTTTCATTTCGAAAAATGCTGATGCTGTTTTGTTTTTGTGTTTTGGCAAAAGGTCATCCGAAACTAATGGAATGTATTAGAGATTCATACGCTTCGATCGCATCTTTCAGAATCAACCTTGGCTAAGTGTTAGATAGCATTCCGACAAAAAGAATTCTGGATATACCGCATAAAACAATACTGCCCAAAGTGGGAATTGAACAAGCGTCTTTTGCGCGACTCGGTGAAGAGCATAGCCGCTAGCCATTAGAGCACGGAAGGTAGGGAAGACCGACCTCTTGGCACTGGCAGAAGCCAGCCTCGCTACGTCCTCTGTGCGGAGCGTCAGTGTCATGTACAGAGAGAATTCACGTGCTGGTTTTGATGAATTGGAAAAGTACAGTTTCTTGACGCAGAGCGAGTGCGTCCTTGAACGGTGGGAGGAGAATGGTGATTGTATGGGGTTAAAGTCCCGTTCAACACTGTAATGTTATTTACTGAGGACGCGCCACCTCCGAATTAAAAGACTATCGCACGTAGGGCCGAGCCAAGCAAATGGGG